AGGGATTCTAGTCTTTCTGTGAAATTATTTTTAGGCCTCTTTCTAGCTTTGTTGTCGGACACTGCACTTTTTCGGGACAGGTTCTGTCTTTTGCGAGCCATGGCTGCCACGCCTGTATGCTATCTTCTAGATGTGGTCGAACGAAGGTGGCATACACTTTTCCAAAGAGATCTTTGTCAAAAGCCAGAGACTCCCCTCTGATAGTGTTCAGTATTCCCGTGGCTTTTTTGCAGCCCTGACACATTGTAACGATGGCTTCAGATTGCTCTGTATCCAAACGCTGAGGAGTTTCTGTGAAGATTCTACGGGAATTTGAGTGTTGTTCCGGTAATATGTCCTTATGCTGTCAGTTAGCAATAGTAGTTAGGCTTTGCTGCCTCTAAGTCTAGTGAGGTGGCAGCCGCACTAAGGAGAAAGGGGAGGCGTGCTTCGGAGGTGAGCAAATTTATTGCTACATATTGCTTACTATCAAATTTTAAGTAGGATCATGGTAAAGAATAAAATAAGAGGAATCGGTCTACTGGAACATTGTAAGCAATTATAAATATTATTAATGATATCCACCTCAGATTTCCAAATTATTTTATAGTGGCAGATAGACGTAAACCAAGTAGTTAGAGGATACACCCGTTCATTCATGGTGCCTTTGAAGCTCACACCCGAGCCTACACCGCAAGGCGGCTAATGAATTAGGCAGAAGGGCATTACCGACAAAGACAAGGGAGAGTAGGATGGCCATTCATGGCTTATTAGTCGTCGACAGCTAGTCATACCCAACTCAAGTGTTCCAAGCCGCCTGATGTTCCACATTCATAAAGGCAAACAGATAAGGTAATCATAATTTTAAGACGACAGAAGAAATGCCTTTATTTACTCCTTCGGTTGCTGAGGAATTGAGGAAACTTAAAGGACCGAGCGCAAAAAAACGAGAAAAGGGCTAGTAGTTTTCTTTTTAAGCTGTCATGTTGAACCTTACACAGGGTAAGATGGATCATTAAAGCCTCCCTGAAATGCAGCTCTCTCAAAAAGAGGAATAAGACATCTTCCAGAAGAACGAAAAGGAACTAGATAGGGAGAAAGGTACAAAATTGGCAAATTAGTATAAAAGAAAATTACTTCCGACAATGGCAAAGGAAGTTTTAGTGCCCTATGATGACTTATTGCCTGTTTTTGGACAGCCATAACCCAACGTATAAAACCGGGCCGCAAGTTTCCCCATCTCACCCCAATAATCCCAGCTCTGCGCATGGAGTTGGTTGAATGATGACTGCTTGTATTTAAACGTAGCTTAACCGCAGAACTTCTTAATACTAAGTCCAAGTTTTTCCATGTACCAATTCCTAGTAATCATTGTTTATGTTACATCTAACGTATTCAAAAACGCTGCAGCGACGACATTTGAATGAAGGAGATTAGAACCAACGACTATCCGAAGTCTTTCATAAGCAACTGCCTCTGCAAGACTTAGCTTGATCTGTCGGGTGAAAAAACCTAAGTTTTGACACGAAAGCCCCTATGTGAAGAACGTCTTGGAAGCAATGGCAAGAATGGTGAAACTGTTCAAAATCGGTGTGGCTCATAAGTCGGAGTCAAAAGATAGTAAATCATGAGACCGAAAGACGCAATGCCAATGACAGAACAATCATCAGTGGTCTGCAGTATGCCATGCCAAAACTGCGATGCGAGGTATACTGGACAAACCCCCTAGCACAAGATTGCACGCACACCAACATGCAATCAACAGCAAAGAAAAGTTGTCTTTGCGCTAGGGCCACCTACAACAGCTAAGTCATGGTTTCGTAGCTGGTAAATCGAGTGATTGGCGGAGCTAATGGTGAGATGATCAAACTAGTGCCCAAAAGGTGGACTTTAACTGGCGCACTCAACCCCGTATCAAGGGGCGGCTATCCACTTCGGATTGCGGCCTCGGAACAAAAACTCCCAAAGGTCATCCACTGTGCCTTGGATCAACTACGCAGTGGCTACTCAATGGTCCTTTGCCAGTACCAACACCGGCTCG